TACAACTGCATGTATTTGGCTATTTATATGTGCTTTTTTGGTAATGTGGCTCCACCATTGTTTGGGTTCTTATACATCCTTGGCTTTATAATATTCGGCTTTGAACGTTCTTTATGAAGTTAAATCCAGAACTGCCTTTCGAATGCATGGAAATAGAGGGTTCACAAAGGGTTAGAATTGTCCCTAAATTTTTGATGTTTTTTTAATTGGGCCAAAAAATTAGAAATTTCACACGGAAATACTTGTGATAATACTTTTAGGACACCTTCCTTTAAAATTTATAAAGCTATGACATTTAAAAAACAATTTGTATTTTCATGTCAATTTTGATAAGTTTTTTCATAATTTAAAATAGTTTTGGTAAAGTTAACATTGGCCGCCATAAACGATCCAAAAGAGTTTTTATATTGATGAATTCTATATGAAAGTTGGAGTTTTTTTGTTACAAAACATTTTGGATCGTAGATGGCGGCCACGGTTTTCCTAGAGCAAGGTCTGAAAATTGCACAAAATTATTATTTTGACAAATTGTCCTAAATGGGCTTACTTTGGAGAATATTATGTACTTTAATGAAAAGAACTGATTCATTTAGCGTTAATTATGAAAACGAAGATGTGGTATGATTGCCAATGAGAAGAGACCAAAATGACACAGAAATTAACAACTATAGGTCACCGTACGGCCTTTAACAATGAGCAAAACCCATACCGCATGTGCAGCTATAACAGGCCCCTAAATGACAATGTAAAACAATTCAAACGAGAAAACTAACGGCCTTATTTATGTACAATAAATGAACGAAAAACAAATATGTAATACATAAACAAACGACAACCACTGAATTACAGGCTCCTGACTTGGGACAAGCACATGCCTACATAATGTGGCGGGGTTAAACATGTCAACGGGATCCCAACCCTCCCCCTAACCTGGGACAGTGGTATAACAGTACAACATAAGAACGAACTATAAAAATCAGTTGAAAAAGGCTTAACTCATCAGATGGACAAAAATACGAGTGGACGTGGCCGGGTACATGTACATCCCAACACCAATAAGACACTAGGTACAGATCTGAGAGTAGTCGCAGTTATCTGAAAGCTAGTTCAAAGCCATTAACAACTAATAAAAAAATCATGCATCTAAGACTAAATTATCAGGATTTTGAAATAAACCCATTTACGAACCAAATTGTGACCTTTTTTAGTGTTTTATGACGAAGTTGATAATTTAGGCCATTTTGTGCCACAAATGAACGTGTTGTTATCATTTTTTGTACTTAACCATGTTAACCTAAGTAACACACTCGATTCATTTAGAAGACCAGCTTCTGCTTACCGTTCTGCATTGTTTGGAGCATATAAGATCAACTTCGGTTTTTAATTTGGTTTGCGTTTATCTGTATACATTTTTTTGTGAAGTGTTTTTTTTTGGTTTTTTTTTGTAATTTGTTTGTTTGTCTTTTCGTTGTCTATTGATTTGTTTTGTCATTAGATTATCGTCTCGAGTCAAATGAGTTTTAAATATCACCTTGGTATTTTACGTCTAACTTTTTATATCCAATTGTTTTAATAATTTGTTCTGAAATATCTATCAATTTTGTTATTATGTTTTTTACCATGTACATCTTATTTTACACTAGTCATCCATATTTAGCATGTTTATATTTTAAAGAAATTTCGTGTTTACTTAATATGTGAATTTCATTATATTTGTAGTAAGTCTGCTGGCTTTTTTTTGTAAGTACAATTCAATATATCCTTATGATTATTAAAACTTCGACCCCAAATTAATTCAGTGTGTTACACAAAACTGATTTTAACAAAAAAAAAAATGAGATGATTGTTTATTTTGTAACTTGGCAACCGAGATGTATGTTTCAAGTTGAGGAATTGAGTGTTTATATATTCAAATAAGGATGTAAAACATGATCTGAATCAAACATGTAAATCCACATAACTTTCGTGTTAGGCTGTAAATGTTTGGTGTTATAGATATGTTGTGTAGTAACATTCTAAAAGAGGGGCGAAAGATACCATAGGGACAGTCAAACTCATAGAACGAAAATAAACTGACAACGCTATGACAAAAAAATAAAAAAGACAAACAGACAAATAATATTACACATGACACAACATAGAAAACTAAAGACTAAGCAACACGAAACCTACCAAAAACTGGGGGTGATCTCAGGTGCTCCGGAAGGGTGAGCAAATCCTGCTCCACATGTGGCACCCGTCGTGTTGTAAATGTTTGGTGTAATAGATATGTTGTGTAGTAACATTCTACATGTTATAAGAACTCATTCACACGAATGGACTGTAGACTTATTTTCGCGGATACTTTATTTAGCGTTTTACTCTATCTAATCTCCTTCGCGACTTCTTGATCTCGCAATTTTCTAATTTACTAGATGTATTTTAATTAGGAAAGATACCATCTCTAAGTATTTGCGACGACTTATATTCGCGTTATTTTTCTACTTGTAAATATAAATTGCTCGCGAAAATAAGTTGGTTTACCTTGTATACCCCTTAAACACGTAAAGAGTTATATGACCTAATTGGCAAAAAAGAACAATTAAATCCATTCAAAATCAATTTGATCTGAAGGAGTTATAAGAGAGGGACGAAAGATACCAGAGGGAGAGTCAAACTCATAAATCGAAAATAAACTGACAACGTCATGGCTTAAAATAAAAAGACAAACAGACAAACAATAGTACACATGACACAACATATAAAACTAAAGAATAAGCAACATGAACCCCACCAAAAACTGGGGGTGATCTCAGGTGCTCCGGGAGGGTAAGCAGATCCTGCTCCACATGTGTCACCCGTCGTGTTGCTCATGTTATAACAAATCAACTTCAAATTCAACTTATATGAATCCCTTTCCACTTTGCTGGTGCGATTGCTGCCTTGTAGCTAGCGGCATTATCCAGCACATTTTCGAAATCTACAGCTTTGAGTTATTGATTGAATAATTTAACTCATGCTTCAATTTAAAGAACATATAAGGCCCTTCTTTTATTCCATCTATCAACACACAGATGAATGGATCATCCCGATTATTCTGCTAAATACCTGAATTCTAAATCCTGCATTCCCTTTGTCTATGCGGAAACCGTACCGTATAGTAAAAAGTCAAATCACAAAAATAATGAACATTGGGGAAAATGTAAAAAACGGAAAGTACTTAATAATCAAACGGCAAAATGAAAAGTCCAAACACATCACACGAATGAATAACAACTGTCATATTCATGACTTGGTACAGGCATTTTTTTATGATGAAAATGATGGATTAAACCTTGTAATATAGCTAGCTAAACCTCTCATTTGTATGACAGTTGCATTAAATTCCATAATATCGACAATGATTTTTGAACACAAAAAAAAAACATACATAATAAGTAAAAACGTAAAAATAGGGGTACAACAGTCAAGATCAGTCCATATTGTGTTTAAATCTTAATCACTATAAAAACAAACAAATATACTAGAAAATTAGACTACAGTAGTTTACTTTCGAATGACTCTAAATTATTTTATAACTCCCTGTATACTTTTATTTGTTTATTTGATATTTTACAGCGGGAAACGTCCGTAAGTACTGTTTATTTATTAGTAAATACTAACATTGTTTGGTGTTACACGTGATGTTTTAGGAAATTTCCTTCAACGCCACGCTTATTGAATTTAACCATGTCTTTAATAAAGACAATTCTAGCAACTAAAGGATATCAAGCAACCGATGATTTAAATTTTTTAAAATTTAAGTGATTTAGGAACGACCATGTAACTACTAGGGAGGGTGGTTTGGTTTTGTTCCTAAAAAAATACTCTGATCCCCAATTTGATGAAAAAAAGATATTCTGAATCCAAATTTTCCCCATACCGTATAGGGGTTAAACTTTTTAAAAAATAATTTGATTGATAGCGTCGAAAAACTTAATAAGAATGTTAGGACTCGAATAAAAAAAACCAATAGTTTTCCCTTTTGAAGTTATATGGTTGCAACCTTATTATTCTAGCAATGATAAAATAAACATTTACTATCGGTTGTCTTATTTGGTAGTTATATAAAAATATCGACGAACATCTCACATATTTTGTACTGGATACCTGACTTCACAAACATCATAATGAAGGACAGATATAGTTGTCCACGAGCGTCACAAAAGGGAACCATAATGATTAAAAATGTGTGCATTCAAATTTGGACTTTCAAATATTTTTGTCACCAGCATAAATGAAAAGACACCAATAATGGAAATGCGCATCTGTGTAGTGTTAATGTTTATGGATAACTTAAGGTCTGTCCAATGATTCATTAAACAGTCTATATCAAATTTTGTAGAATCTTTGATCTTCATAGCTGCACTTTTAAAACTGGTATCATGCCCTCTTCTTACATACAACCATTTTGATTATTATCTCCGAACAAAAGTAAATATAATCAATCTAGAAATCCCTTTCCTTTTTCACGAATGTGGCGGTCCTAATTATACTATTTACCTGGTTTGTAACAACATGAGCAACACAACGGGTGGCACATGTGGAGTAGGATCTGTTTACCCTTCCGGAGCACCTGAGGGGTTTGTGTTGTTTAGTCTTCAGTTTTCTATGTTTTGTTTTGTGTACTATTATTTGTCTGTTTGTCTTTTTCTTTTTTAGCAATGGCGTTGTCAGTTTATTTTCGATCTATACGTTTATAGATATAAGAAGATGTGGTATGAGTGCCAATGAGACAACTCTCCATCCAAGTCAAAATTTATAAAAGTAAACCATTATAGGTCACAGTACGGTCTTCAACACGGAGCCTTGGCTCACACCGAACAGTAAGCTATAAAGGGCCCCAAAAATGACTAGTGTAAAACCATTCAAACGGGAAAACCAACGGTCTAATCTATATAAAAAACGAGAAACGAGAAACACTTATGAACCACATCAACAAACGACAACTACTGAACATCAGATTCCTTTGGTATCAATGGCCCTTCTTTGATTGAAGTCTTAAAAAAATTACTGAAAGTGATCCTTCCCTTTTTAAGAACTAGAAAAACAAATTTTGAGTCACTTACCTATGAACGACTTTTAATAAATTAAAACTCATTTTATACTAAACTTTATTGTCTTTTACAGCAGACAAATTCAGTAAGTATTGTTTATCTAATGCAAAAACGTTCTGAGATACAGGAAAACCCTGTTATAGGATAAAATAGAGAATGGAAATGGGGAATATGTCAAATAAATAACAACCGGACAAAAAAGCATATAACAACCAAAGACCACCAGTTGGTCTTCAACGCTGCGAGAAAATCTCGCACCCGAAGATGGGCCCTAGCTGGCCCCAAAATAAAAATGTGTATTAGTTCAGTGAAAATGGACGTAGCATTGGATATCTTGAAACGCCATTAAAGGTGTCAGACCACCAATTAAATATCACTATCGGTTCAACTAAATTTTGCAATTTTCACAGCTTTCTTAATATTTTACCTTAAGTTTAACTTCATAGAAACCAGGTATATCCTGAATTGAACATGCATCAGTTTTCTGCATGCCAATTTTTAACATACCTTTAAAGCCATCTAAGAAAAAAAAATGACCTTCAAAAGGAGGTACTCCAAAAATACCCCCTGGTTTTCTGGAAATCTTAAATTAGTATACTATGGTGCGCATTAATCCTCAATTTTTAATGCAAACCCATAAACAAGTAAATTTTGGCTCAAAATGGTCTTAATAAATTTCTCTTTCACCAAAAGTGTCATTTCTGCAAATTTGTTGGTTAGATTAAGTAAACAAGGACACCAAAAACACTTTTTTTTGTGTCAGAGTAGGACTACTTTTACAAACGTTCTAAATTAGAGGGAGTAATTGGTGGTCTGACACCTAAAGTGTTTTGACTCCTATTTAAATCCTAAATATGACTTTTCGTTAAGAACTGCAATCATTAAACGTTTTGAGGGATTTTATGTTTTGATTTAATACTTCATATCCGGACTTGTAGATCAGAACTAAACATAAAAAAAGAGAAACAGATATGCATGAAAAAGCATTGTTGTGAAACCAAAGAGGTTAATACTTGAGTGTAACTTGCTATACATGAAACCTATATCTTGCGTAGCAGTTTAATAATCTCCCCTGTCTGTTGACCCAGAATTGTTTCCTTATTTACAAATGAAAACATGGTAAAACAGGATGGCCAATGATGTAAGAGTAGATCATGTAGATGATATCCAAACTTTACCGTGCAGATATAAGTATGGTATGAAGCATTTACCTGTATGCATGCCTTTTATTAGAGCATTTGCATTATTCAGGTATTTGGATACGTACACGGATCGACGTAAACGTATCGGGCAGATTTGTACAAAATAATGATTTATCCCCGACCTCAATTAAATCTGAATAAAAATTAAATGCATTTTAAAATATCTTCATCTGGACTCACTTGACTTAATTTGACCTTTCCTCATAAATGTGTTATACGATACGTTGATACGACGGATACGCCAGCAAATACGTGAATAATGCAAATGCTTTATTCATAATCAGTATGAAATTGTTGGAGCCGGTCTTGTCAGTTAAAATAGAGGCAGAAGATTCACAAGTCGACCTAACAACGATATGGCAAAATAACAAAAGACGAAGAAACAACAAAACATATATAAAATACTACATAGAAAAACTAAAGACTTTGCATCTAGAACCCCGCGTAGAACGGGAGATGATCTTATAGGCAATACACCTTATTGTTATTTAGTCCAATCAGGATTTTGCCACTTGATTAGGGACTTTCCATTTGAATTTTCCTCGGAGTTCAGTATTTTTTGTGATTTTGATTTTAGACAACATACTGTTTGGGTCAACAGTGAAGCAAAACAAAGGTCACCAGTAACGAGATGAGGAAGGAAAAAAATAAGAAAGCGATCACTAGGAAACTTTGATAGATTATGATCCCTTTTTTCGAAACTCAAATTATAGTCAAAAAGTATTTACGATGGATTAAACAGTTCTCATTAAAAAGTATCATGAATGGTGCATTGTTAAAACAGGGTCCGATATAACTTCAACTGGATGAAAAAGTTGTGTAATTTAGAAAATTACCCGGAATAGAATAAATAGTGATTAGGTGTATTGAATGGTCGAGAAACTGTGCTAAAATATTAAAAAGATGATTGATAATTCCAACATCAAGATGGTTTTCTTTAGATATAACATTTTTGTCGAGTTTAGTGCATTGATATTTCAATAGACAATCTTTATTTCAATTAGAACTAGTTGTGCATTTCTACTGGCCGACTTTTTTTGTACTCATACCAAGTAGAATTCCTAAAATACCCTCTGTCAGTTTATTTCCATATATGAGATTGTCTGTCCCTCTGGTATCTTTCATCCGTCTTTTCTTTCTCAGACCCACAATACAACTAAAATTGCCATTTTATTCTGAAACAGACTGAAGAGAATAAATGTTGAAGTCATGTTAAATGTTTCAGTAAAAGTCGAACTGATCAACTGAGGTTAACTCTGTTACCTTCAGACAATTTCTTAACAATGACCTCAGTCTAAGGTCAAGCTATGCAATACTTCTATGCAATGCAATAATCTGAACAAAATCATAAAAAAACTGAATTGTCTGAAACTATACCGAAGAGCACTCAATTGAATGAAATCGTAATGTCTGAATACTACTAAATGTACAAAAAAAAAAAGAAATATATGCAAAATACATCTTACCAGACTTAACGATTCAGACTGTTTACATTTATGTATAGATTAAAATGGCTTTTCTAGATTAAATCCTAGTGAACTCTTGAGATATAAATGTTGTAATCTTTCATATTTTCACAAACATTCAATTATCAATACATTTCAATTATACATTCTAGGTATTGCGAGAATTGTGGGTAAGTTTTTATGATTTTTTATACAGTTGGTATCTGTCATATAAATCAGCATTCTGAAATACAAACAATTGTCCTTAGGCAAAATACGCGTATGGCAATTTTTATTACAAAAATATTACATTTATCGACTAATAAAAATCACAAATGAATTGTTCTGATAAAGACAAATAAGATTGGATTGTAGGTTGAATTCCAAAACCAACAATAATATTTTGCTTTACTTTTATTTGTACAGGTATCATTGCATATGATTAAATTATTAGGTGACGGATTCTCATTTCAATTTCAGCATGTTTTACAATATAATATTCATTATTTATTTCATTGCTACATTAATGTTATCAATGCAAGAGTGTATGTCTGAATTATTTTATTATTTTCGCGAGATAGTTATGGCATGCATATAGCTTAATGTAATTTACGTAGTGTTTTATATGTTTTAGGAAAGAAAATGCATGTAAATATATCGGAATGTGTGAATAGACCGGTAATATAGAACAAGCAAGATGAATATTTCTCCTGTGTTACCTTTGAACTATTAACAAGTAGATTAAAACAAAATGTATATTATTTACTTTCGTTGTACTCCACGAGTAATGGTATAGAAATTTTACATAAATATGAAAATGCATGTACATTTCTATCTTATCAAACTTTTCTCTAAGTTGATATATAGTGTATTCCTCTCATCCAATGAAAACGGTACACTTTTGTACAGATAAAGGCAACAGTAGTATACCGGAGTTCAACTGCCATTAAACGATTGAGACAAAACGAATACGGGTTACAAACTAAAACCGAGGGAAACACATCGACCATAGGAGGACAACAAAGGACTAATAGGAGCACTGAAATGCAAACTCAAACATACATTGAAACGAACAATTTTATACCAACTGCCATATTCCTGACAAAAAAAGGGGGGTGGGGGTGATATCAAATGGAAAACCAAAAGTTCTGAATATGTTGAGTAAAGATTCAAAAACGTTATCAAAATTACTGGAAAAAAACGTTATATTGTTTTTTTATTCCAAAATTCTAATCTGCATTTGCAATAAAAGCTATATTCTTGAGTAGCCAACTGATAAGTAAATAAAAGCAGAATTATTTTACTGCAAGAAATGAAGGATAAGTTTCCTACAACTTTCAAATTCAAGGGCATAATTTATTGCGACCCTTTTTCGTATGCAACCGGATGTGACGTACTATGCTTTGGTGGTATTAAATCTACACAGTTTCGAGATTTTGCATGTTTTACTTAATTATTTTCCTACATTTAATAGCTGTTGTTTTGTTGAAAAATTGGAAATTAGCTGTCAAATTTTACTCTCCTATGTCAAGTTGCAATACATTAGATGATTTCCTCCAAGGAGGTATAGGTAAAAATTTAAAAAAACAAATGTTTATGTAAAAAGAAACAAAATAACGACAAATTCTCAAATACTCCTGTTGTCAAAATAATAAACGTATATTTCTATATACATTGATATAGAACAAATCAGTAAAAATCGTTTTTTATTTAACTTTGGTAAAAATGACAAATAGGTTGATAGTTATTAATTACTAAGAAAATTTACCAATTTAAAAGACATAATGTACAATTTTATTCGTCTTTAAAAAGTTAAATCAAAAATATACCTCATCTTCTTATATCTATAAACACCAAGGAAAATTCAAAATGGAAAGTCCCTCATCAAATTTCAAAATCAAACGCTAAAGTGCAACAAACAAATGGATAACAACTGTCATATTTTTGACTTGGTATAGGCTTTTTCTTATGTAGAGAATGAAGGATCAAACCTGGTTTAATAGCTAGCTGAACATCTCACTTGTTTGACAGTCGCATCAAATTCCGTTAAAATTGACAGCGATATGTGAACAAAACAAACAGACAAAACAGGTAAAAATGTCAAAAATAGGGATACAGCAATCAACATTGTGTGATAATCTTAATCACAATAAAAACAATGAAATATGTAACAAAGAAACACATATATGACAACACATTAAATTCATTTGTCTATGTGTGATTTCCAAATTTTCTGTGTTCTTTATAATTTTTTCTCGTTGTTTTTAGATCTGTCATCCTTTTTTCGTGGAATACAATTTTTATTTAGTGTTAAAGTCATATGAAACTTCAAATTAAAAAAAAAAATATGCATATATTTTTTTTTTAACTAAATGGCTAGTGTTTATTATAAAACTTATGTCCATATGCTATTTCTCAAGAAATTTTTATAATTTGTCCAAATTTAGAAAAAAGTTTACTTTTTTATAATTGGTTGCTTCCAGGAAACAATTCGCCACATGTTTTCCGTATGCAGCGTGACCTTTCTCGTAAAAATCCGGTGATCGCAATACGCAAGTGCGAATGGAAAACCATACGTAAACATCTCTCCGTCATCAAGATAAACTATATCTTATTGTACCTGTTATACACGTGCTTACCTGAATATCCATGCTTCTTTGTTGAATGTTTACAAACGGATGACAATCGTTAAACTTCGGCTTCAAAACACGACCATTAATTAGCTGCCATATTTTCACAACAACACTGACCGATTGAAACATATTTTTACGATTATACGAAATTTATGCAAAATAAAATGAGAAAATCGTGCACAGAAGACTAAGTTTATGATATATGTATGCATTGGTTCTAGAATTGGATTAACATAATTTTTCACCAGTCACTCGTTTCATATGACATTTTAACAACAAAAATTCTTTCAGTAAAAGACAATATAATTATAATTGTAATAGATTTATAAAATGTGTATTTAACATAGATGCTTCACGTTGAATTAAAATAGATTTGATTTAATTATAGTTTTTAAGAATACAAATATAATGGTTATGCATTAAGGGAGCTGTCAGTGTACGAATCAAAACACTTGTTTGAATTAAGGGACACAAATTATCCTTTTTTACAATACAAGATTTGTTTTTTGTACGTTTTCTTTTTTATACATATGTTCGCCTATCGTGTCAAATACTTTATACCAAAAACAGATACATTTGTCAGCGTAACATGAAATAAATCTCAACATATACAATTACATATTATACAATCTAAAGGAACTTTCCGAATTTTGGGTTTCGATGCTTATCAACATTATATTCGATTTGGCTATTACACTGTCTTGAATTTACCGATAAGTTTTGTGTAGAAGAAATTCGCCGTCTTGAAAACAAAACTATATGGCTGGTATTTTTATTGCGTTTTTGTCATGAATTATTTCACTTTGTGAAAATCCACACTAATTCCATGAACAAATACACTGAAGAGGATATCATCACAATGCTGGATTCTTTAATCGATATTTCAGCCAATACTTACATCTCATATATCCCAGTGAACTTGAAATTAAGGATACTACTGATACTAGAAGGACTGCTTCATACCTTGATCTTTTCCTCAATATTGACACAGATGGACGACTTCACACGAAAATCTATGATAAACGGGACAATTTTAACTTCCCAATTATCAATTTCCCATTTCTCAGCAGTAACATACCCTCTGCCCCTTCGTATGGTGTTTACATATCTCAATTGATACGTTATTCTCGTGCTGCTTGTTCACACTATACGGACTTCATATACAGGAGTGTGCTCCTTACGCAGAAACTGCTCCAACAAAGTTATGAGGAGGACAGATTAAAAATGACACTCCGTAAATTTTACGGACACCATCACGAATTGGTTGATCCATACGATGTGTCTTTGTCCAAACTAACAAAGGACATTTTTACCACGTTTTAGATTGTGGTTTGTCATTACGTCGTCTGATCTTTTAATTATCGAACGTGACTTATTCCCGATTGTGACTGTTGTTAAGTGTGAATTCGCATTGCTATAAGACGTGTCACGGTACTTTTCTATCCCAAATTCATGTATTTAGTTTTGATGTTATATTTGTTATTCTCATTGGATTTTGTTAAATGTCTTAACGTCTTTTCTGTTATATTCGTGTGTTTTGGTAAAGATAATTAATTAACCCCTTCATTTATTAGATTTTTGTTTGGTTCAACGAAATTTATACGATATATTTGGTTTACAGTTTGATTCAGAAGAAACACCGACATAGCTAGATAATACAATTAATTATCTAATTACTGCCACAATTTGATATTAATAAGTATTGTAATTTTCATTGTTATTAATAAATGTAATATCAGTATTACAAATCTAATCTTGAATCAATCCTAATTCTATCTTATTTTGGGGAAATATTTTTAGAAATTCAAATGTGACGTCACTTTGTGTGTTTTTTTAGAAATTCAAATGTGACGTCACTTTGTGCGTTGAGGCTTTGGCTAACTCGGCCGTGTATTTTTATGTGCTGGATTAGGTTGTTTTATGTGATGTATCCGTATTTATTCTGTAGTTAGTCACCACTTCGGTTTTATCATGTATATCTATTATACAGTCATTTTATAAAATTTACTGTTTGCAAAAGTATAAATTATTCTAAATAATAAGGATGTTCTTATCCCAGGCAGAAAACCCTAGCCGTATTGGGCACACCTTTTTGGAACTTTTGGTCCTCAGTGCTGTTCAACTTTGTACTTGTTTTGGCTGTCAAACTTTTTTCATCTGAGCGTCGCTGGTTAGTCTTGTGTGGACTAAACGCACGTCTGGCGTGTTGAATTTTAAGCCTGGTACCTTTTGTTAGCTTTTATTCGTATGTTTCTCTGTCCTATATGTTCTCCCATTTATTTGTATTGTAGTCCTGTCATGTAATGTTGTCATTTTAATGTTATATTTAACATTGTCAGAAAAGCGGGTGTTTGGCATGCCACAAAACCAAGTTCAACCCACCATTTTATTCTTAAAATGTCCTGTACCAAGTCAGGAAAATGGCCATTATTATATTGTAGTTCGTTTCTGTGCGTGTTACATTTTAATGTTGTGTTTCTGTTGTGTCATTGTTCTCCTCTTATATTTGATGCGTTTCCCTCAGTTTTAGTTTGTAACCCGGATTTGTGTTTTTCTCAATCGATTTATGAGTTTCGAACAGCGGTATACTACTGTTGGCTTTATTTATAACCACCGGACCGGAATATCTGCTGGTGGACAATCTGTCCCCGAGGATTCTACCAGTCCGGTAGCCTAACAGCATGAAAACTAGTAGAATAGAAAATATTATACTGGATGACACGCCGCCCAGGATAAAAAGGTGATAATCGGATGTTGTCAAGGACACAACCACACCAATTTTATCAGGTGTCCCCAGGATCATCTTAAATGATGTAATGAAAATGACACATGTGCAGTCTTCTGAATCCTCATTGTTCTATAAAAATTCCGACAAGTTTGTTTATATTCGGCCCTGTACTGTTCAACTTTCAGATATTTTAGATATCAATGACAACCACCAATATTGCTCTATTTCCAAATGTAACCGTAAAAGTTGTAAAACCTGTGATATACTAATATCTGATACCCACTTTCAAAGTAATTTAACCACCAAAAGTTACAATACAAACAGTCATGAGGATTTGAATTGCACTGCTTCCAATATTTTGTACGGTATTGAATGTACTCTTTGTGGATTGATCTACGTCGGGGAAACTCGACAAAGACTCAATTTTAGAATGAATGATCATCGGTCTAATGTAAATGATCCTAATAACAACAAATTTCTCTATAAACATTTCAATCAGCCTGACCATTCTATTGTTTTAATGAAAGTCCGGATTATAGAGAAAATATATCATTCAACAAATGACTCCATATTGAGTACACCATATCGTTTACAAAGAGAAGACTTTTGGATAAGAGAGTTGGAAACAGCCATTCCCTATGGATGCAATGACAAAATTGATGGTGTAGGTATTTTGTTTAGTCCCAGGTGTAGTACTATCAATACATTACAATTATTTAATACTTCTGCTCGACGAAATAGAAGTCATGGTCACAGAAAATATATACCACCTGCTGTGCACACCGTGACAATTGATAGTCTGTTAACGTCTGTTCAAAAACCTTTAGGAATTCATCATATCAGAACTGAATTATACTCCATTCCATTGTCAAAACTTTTTTTACTATTTCAAGAGGCCCAAAATACTTCCGTTACAGATTCTCGTTCCGTTTTGTATAGATTAGTTGCAATAATCATGGAAATTGCTAACCATAGACTATTCAAACCCGTATCGAGTACATCCAAAAATGAGGAAAAATGTAATTTTTTTAAGGTAGAATTCGCCAATAAAGGTTTAGATGCTGTAAATATTAGCAATATTTTCCATCAGAAATCTGTACAAAAAACTTTACCTGATTACTTCAAAAATAAAGTTACACCTGTTATTTCTTATACTTACATCAAGTCTATTGCATCCAAGATTTTCAACCACAAGAGAGTTTTAGAGGCCTTTAACCTCAAAGATGTGAAATCCAAGCCTCCGGATTGCTCATGTGCATCGTCACAATACAATTATAGTCCAGCTGGTCATGTTATTACTGGTGACCTTGGCATCGTTACCAATGAACAACTAAGAGAGTTGTTAGCCAAGGGACCAAACTATAGAATTCCTCAGCCCATCAACTGGAAAAAGAACTTCAAGTTACTGATGGATGCAGTTGAGGACTATGCAAGAAAATGGATAAAGCGCGAACCAGACGAACCAGAACTGGACACTTTGTCTGAATGGATCAAAGCTATTCGATCATGCATTCAGAAGCGCATTCAAAAACTACGATGCAGTATGAGTACAAGAGTTACTAATCCTTTCAAAAATCCGGATGTTGTGGATGCTCTATCCTCTTGCATGACAAATATGTCGTTGTTCCAGCAGATAAAGCCTCCAATAATATTGTCTTCATATGTAAAAACCATTATTTGCAATGTCTCACAACAGAGCTTGGAATAAATAGAAATACAAGTAACCCTACATATTCTTTAACATCATTTACCAAGGACGAAATTTTACAAAATCACAAATCTGTCCTTCTTTCTTTTGGTATTAACATCAAAGAAAACGAAGAAAATTTACCATCATTATACTGGATACCAAAACTACACAAAACTCCATATAAAGAACGATACATAGCTGGGTCATCAAAATGTTCGACTAAACATCTTTCTAAAGTACTGACTACTATTCTTTCTACAGTTAAAGATGGGCTTCAAAAATATTGTGATGAGATGTATTCTACCAGTTGTGTTAACCAGATGTGGATTCTCAAAAATTCGAAAGATCTACTGCTTAATCTTCGATCACAATCTTTGCAATTTTGCAGCAACATAAAGACTTTTGATTTTTCTACGCTTTACACTACTATTCCCCATGCTCAGTTGAAAGATCGACTTCACCATCTCATTAAACAGAGCTTTTTCTAAAAAAATGGGAATCGTAGATACAAATTTCTTGTTTTGGGTTACAATAATTCATATTTTGTGAAGAACCACACTGAATCTACCAGAAAATATACTGAAGATGATATTATCAAAATGCTGGACTTTTTGATCGATAATATATTTGTTGAGTTTGGAGGATTTATATTTCAACAGACAGTCGGTTTTCCAATGGATACTAATTGTGCACCCCTACTGGCCGATTTGTTTTTGTACTCGTATGAAGCAGAATTCATTCAGAACCTTCTAAAAGACATAAAGAAAAAGCACCTTGCAAAATTCTTTAATTTTACTTTCTGATATATTGATGATGTTCTATCATTGAATAACCCATATTTCAGCCAAAACTTATATCTCATATATCCCAGTGAACTTGAAATTAAGGATACTACTGATACTAGAAGGACTGCTTCATACCTTGATATTTTCCTCAATATTGACACAAAGGACGACTTCACACGAAAATCTATGATAAACGGGACGGTTTCAACTTCCCAATTATCAATTTCTCAGCAGTAACATACCCTCTGCTCCTTCGTATGGTGTTTACATATCTCAATTGATACGTTATTCTCGTGCTTGTTCACACT